CTTCCGGTTACTAGGTTAGCTCATTAGTCTGCTGACCACTTGACTGAAATCTAATAACAAATAAATTCTGAATTCTAAAAAATTGACCAAAATAACTTAAAAGGTGTTTGCCAATACATCTTTGAGTGTTTTTGGAATAAATTCTTTAGACCATTGACACTTTTTTCGATTCAAAATCTCTAAAAATATTCATCAGGACATTGGATAGAAATAAAAAAGAAGCTCAGCAAAAACATCTTATCATCAATTTCCTTTTTAAAATTAGCTGCACAATCGCGTTTATACACATAAGTTTAAATAGATAAAATTATTATTTATATCCATATAATAACGTAGAGGTTAAAGGTGACAGTAATCTGCAGCTTGATATGAAAGTACGAATGCGTGAATACAGATTACAGGGGTAAGATTATTCAGGATTAGAAAGTAGTTGCAAAATATGTGAAACAACAGCACTATCTTTGAACATCTGATAGATTCCGGACACCAGGCTACACCCCAAACGAACTTCAAAGTCGTCTAGAGAATATGAAGCAGCCTTCCTAAAAGTTTACGAGTCAAAACTCTTCAAACTGCAGAAGAAATTGCAATTCACTTGCTAAGCTCTGAATTCCGCATACATAAGAAGTTCATTCAGTCACCACACTTGCAATGGACGCAATCTGTCTTAATACTCGACAGTCATTTATGTTGCGTCATCCAAATTATTTGCTCAACTTTAGTCCTTATTTATATGGCATTATTCTCTACCCCACCTCTACTTGGTCTCTACCTGTAATTACCTCTGTTGCTATCCTAAGTTGAAACGTTTTAGTCACTTATATTATGTCATCTAACTTACTAACTCAATCTTACTTAATTCGCTGTCTAATTAACCTTGTTTCTATATTAGATCATTCTTGTATTACCTGACAAATAATCTAAATTTGACAAACCTCATATACACACACACAAATAAATATATTTAAATGCGATTTTACAACTATGTGCATGAATTCGCCGAAAAGAGTCTCTTTGCCGAGCGTCTTCTCTGTTTCAGTAGGAGCCTTGAAAACTTTTGCCCACAAACTGCAGTAATCACGAAAAAGAATAGACTGTAAACAGACAAGGATTTGTGTGTGGCGTTAAATAACGTTCAGTTTTTCGAAAAAGTGTTGAATGGAGGAGAAATGGATGAATTTACAGACATGAGAAATAGAGAGAAGCCTAGTGACTAACATAGAAATCATGAAATTAAGTGAGAAAAATATCAGATATACAACAGTGATACCTATTCTTCATTTCGTCATTGAAGATTTCTTCTATGAAATCTGAAGTGATAATTGTGACCGATTAATTAAACCAAAATTTGAATTACACGTGATATTCACAAACTAACATTTTTCTAAAATAATGTACAATAACACACATAGAATAATGAAATACAGAACCTTCATTGTGAAGTGCTTGTGGCTGAATGGTGTCAAATGCACAGCCACTGTGAGTCAATATAAAAAAAAGTTATTGTCAAAGGTTGGCCATGTTTAGATTAAACAGAGAGATAATGTCCAGATACACATTAAAGGTATTAGAATAAACACTGTTCAACTGAGATGGAAACATCAATGAAACAAATACAGCAGATACCATTTAACTATAAGAAGACAATTAATGCAGGTCAAACAGAATCAGAATACTTAAACATCACAACACTTAAACATCTTCTCATATTTCTTTTGTTTTCAAACTTATGCTACTTACCTCCAGTAAGTAGTATGAATATGTTTACTTCTTAAACACGACTTCATCGTTTATTTGTATCACTTTATTCCGTGTCTGCCATTCATGCACTGTTTAAATAACACGTGGATCAGCTGTGTTACAGCTATACTGTTTTTACTTATTGATGCACACTGAGTTGAACTAAAGAACCACAAAAAGCCAGGAAGTACTGGACTGATTGCTCCACCAGCTCAAACCCAGGAGCACCACGATACGGGGCCAGGCTATTCAGTGACTGAAATTGGATCGAATGGCCCATCAGTACTGTCCACTTGCGTTGCATAGCGAAACCTCCAGATGATTTCATCGGTGAGTAGTAGTCCTCACATCCGACTTGGTGAACCCCGATGGTCACGACTTACAACTAGGAATTCAGGCAACTTCACTCTGCAGTCATTCCCTACTGAGCGTAAGATTATTTTCCATGCGTTAGTTTCTAAGGATTTGTCTATTAAATATTTTAGATAAATGCTTACCCTATATTAATGACAATTCATACTACATGCATTGATGAGTGGTTATTTTGTATGCTGATGTCTTTAATCCACTGGAGAGCCTATGCAAAAAATAATCATTCGACCATACTAACCAGTAATGGAACCGACAGGTCAATTAGTGCCGATTTTGATGTGGTTGTGTTCTCTGAGCTGGAAAGTTGATTTGCGAAGCTTTCATCACCCTACTAGGTGACAACTTCAGCGAATACTTCAATTTGAAGTGAGCTTTTAGATTTCTCCATGAGTTTATTAATCATCTTTCCTGGTGACCTCGGACGTGATTGGTTGTTTATGTGTGTTTTCACATCTTCCAGGTTACTTGTATTGGAACTGACTGTTTCTTTGGCTTGAACTTTGACCCTGTGTGTGTGAGCTTTCTTTCTTATCGGTTGATAAATTTTGTCTATCTCTATGTTTCTATTGATTGATGATTCACCGGAATGCCAGGCTTCTAAAAATTCTCTAGTATTCTTGTTGTTTCCTCTGTCTAGTATTTGAACGTTGTCCGAGTGGAATTGATGTCCGTGGTTGTCTGTCTGTGATGTGAGTGATGGAGTGGATATCATGTCTTTTGTCGGCCATCCAATGTCCATGGATAAGAAGGTGAAGGCGATGTCCACTTTTGCCAATGTAGTGTTTTTCGCAGTTGTTACAATTTATTTTGTAGATGATGTTGGTTTTATCTTTGTCCGCTGTTGAGTCTTTTGGTTGACATAGAATTGAGTGAAGTGACTTTATTGGTTTGTGTACGACGTCAATTCCTAGAGGTTTGAAGAGTCTTGTAGTAATTTCTGAGGTATCCTTTATACATGGTAAGGCGATTTTCTTTGTGCTTTCCTTGGTGGCTTTTACTTTGATAGGTTGGCTTGAGGGTATATGTCTTTTGATGAAATTCCATGGATATCCATTCTTTTGGAAGACGTCCATGAGATATTTTTCTTCAATTTTCCTTAAGGTGGGATTACTGCAATGAGTCCTTGCCCTCTTGTATAGTGTTCGTATGCAATTTCTTTTGTGTGTTATTGAATTGTTGCTGTTGTAATTTAGGATTTGGTCTGTGTGAGTTGATTTTCTATAAACTTGAGTTTCTAACTCCCCTGTGGTTGTTCGCTTGACTAAGACGTCCAAATATGGGATTGGTTCTCGGATTCCTCCTCTCTTGTGAATTTGATGTCGTTGAACACACAAAAACAACCAATTACGTCCAAGGTCACCAGGAGAGATGATTCATAAACTCATGGAGAAATCTAAATGCTCACTTCAAATTGAAGTATTCGCTGAAGATGTCACCTAGTAGGGTGATGAAAGCTTCGCAAATCAGCTTTCCAGCTTAGAGAACACAACCACATCGAAATCATCCACCTGAGCTACAAATCTTCTCTATCATATCTAATGCCGATTTTGTAAAAGCTTATTGACCAATTAATCACTCAATCCAGGGTGGTAAATGTAAGGTTGATCTTACTGTCTCCCACTCTACGGTGTTTTCATGTGTTACACTGTTAGATCCAATACAATTTACCGAAATACAGAGCCTCATGCACTTGACCGCGAAACTTCATGTCTTTAAACTAGAACCTAATGTTAACCTCTGCCACAGCATCCCATTACATTCAAAGACTTCAAAATCGATATAAGGATCTAGTAAATCTGCATTTGATGAGTAAGACGTGTTACCCATTTACTAATGACAGAACTGAAACCTGGGATCATACATTAAAGCCTAATTACATTTTCAATTCACTGCCTGCAAACTTCGTTAGACCAGCGACAAGGGACTCTGACAGGAGACGAACCAACCAGGGATTTATTGCCCAACAAACATTCTAAAGGAATGTTAATGGACTGGACACACACTGAAGAGACCGTTGAGTGACATCGAACCCAAAACCTTCGTGTGTAACCTAAATAGGAAACGACGAATTTGGTTTGAGTTCGAAGGTGACGTAAAAGAGATGGGTGATATTAGAGTCAGATAAAAAAGACAAGAGGGAACAGGTTGGATGTAGATGTGCAGCTGAAATCGTATTTTTAACTCTCACTCCGAAAGAATTATAATGACAGTAAATTCTCACTTCATGTCAATCCAAACCTGAAATCTGTCCGCTTGAAGTAGTTGATTAAATGTGACAGATGGACAGTAAGAAGACTGCCATCTCCCCCTGCCTCTCTCTGTATTCCATCAAACTTTAATTCTATTAGAATTTTGCATTGAACTGTCCGGCATTTCGAAAGATAAATCTTTTATCGAAGGTATACTTCACTCCAAAGATAAGTGACCAATCCATTCGATTGTAGAATGTTTACAATTTCCTCTAATAAGAAAGTACATTATACTTCCTCAAGGAATAAATTTGATGGATGTCCCACCTACAACAATGGTCGGGGTCGGGTTAAATCACACACTGGTAGAAGTTAGAATTCATGGACTGGCCATTGAGACGAGTCCCAGTGGCTGAATGGTATACGAGCTTGCCTTTTAACCGGAGGGTCTCGGGTTCGAGCCTTGGCGGCGAGTGCGTACTGCCGATGATTACTAAACTAGGATGAAACAGCTGTCCTGTACTCCAGTGCTGGTTTCTAGTGATTTCCTAACTGATATCAATCCGTGATCAACTCGTAAACACAAAACTAACCCTTACAAACCAAACTGTAGAAAATTAACTTGTACATTTAACTGGCGAATTGTGTGAAAACATCTTTATTTCCCGATTTAGATGAACAATTTTTGTTTATTCAACACTACCGTCTAGATACAGTTCCAAATTGTACAACTCTTTGACGACTCTCTGTAACACCTGACTCACTTTCAGTACCATCAGTTTTCGTTGACTCTTCTTCACTATCGTCATCAACCTCATCATCATAGTCATTATCGTCACTGTCTTCTGTCTTGCTGTCTTTCTCCTGACTACTTGATTCTTGTAGAGTTTCAGATTTCAAGTCAACATTGTCACCAGCGTTATCCTCGTCATTATCATCGTCATCTGAACTATCACTGGATTTATGATGATATGCTGACTCTGTCGATTCACTTTCTGATGTCTCAGTATCCTGCCTGTCTTTCGATTGACTTGCTGACATTTCTGTATAGGAGGAATCAAATGAAGTCACCTCATTCTCGGTGAACTTTCTAACAGATGATTTCGATTTTTCAGTAGGAATGTGTGAAAACTGTTTCCCTGTTGGATGTTGATTTTGACTTTTGATTTTTTGATTTTTTCGTTCATTTTGGAGGTGAGTTTCCTCTCCTAAGTCTTCTTCATCCCCTCATCTCCATCTTCATCTTCTCCTTGCTGACTTAACTCTTCATCGTTCTGTTCCCCGACTTCATCTTTTGTCGTCTTTTTCGATGAATATAAACTATGAGTTTCATCAAAGCGAATAGTTGAAGAGTTGTCATCATGATTCACTGGTTTACTTTTATTTTTATTCAACAATCGATTTGTATTATTTGAGCATTGACCTTTAGTTGTAGCATTAATTGTATTCTCATCATTGTCTGTACTTTCACTTCGTATACTTTCAGTGATAGACATCAAGTCTAAGTGTTGACGTGATCTGGTCTTTTCAATATGTTCATTTAATTCATGGATTAGATCAGCTCTGATATCTTCTGGTGTATTCTCTGTTCTTTGTTTTAACTGTATTCGTAATTTATCCAGTTTTCTTTCATGTTGATTTACTAGTGCGGTTTGTTTTACTAAGCTGTCATAAAGAAGATTTAATTTTGTCAATAAGAATTTCTGTTCTTCTCTTAAATCTTTATTCATACGTTTTAACACCGATAAACTCGGCTCATTTCGATCATCAATTGACTGACTAGTTGGAAGTGTAGTTATTGTATCATGTGTAAGTAGACGCCAGGCACCCAACTCTCCAGTATTCCATTCAGCTTGATATTTACCCAAACGACAGACAGGTATCGGTAGAGGATCGTCTATATCAATTGTTGTAGGCAGTGTAAAACTCAGGAATCCTGAATGTGCTGATGAGCTGGTTGATGTAGTTTTAATTGAACTTGTATCGATTTCATTTAATTCCATATTATTATTAATGTTAGTATTACTACCACTGCTAAAGCCATCGGATGAATCACCACGTCGACGTGATAATAAAGTGGTATGATTTGTTTTTAATATAGGCGATTCGATTCGACCACGTAGATGGTTGATAAATTCTGTTGTTTTATGCGTAACTTTTGATAAGAATGCTGGAGGAGTAATACGACCTCTAGAGCGAAAACTACGCGTTGGAAATAAAGAACTGTCCATATTCTTTAATTATTATTATTTTTATTTAACTCAATAGTAAATTATGCTGAAAAGAACTAACCATTGCTTCTATCGATCAAGTGAAGTCACGTGATTTTCAAATATTAGTGAATAACAATGTTATATACTACAACCTATAAATGATCATAAACTGTTCACCGAATTCAAAAATTATTTATTTAGTTGCAAGATTTCATCACTATTTGGCATCAGTTAGAGAACTATTGGAGAACCTGCGGGTACTGGACAGCTGTCTCGTCAGTCCAGTATGAGACTCTTGAGCAGTACGCGCCCGCCACCAGGGTTCGAACTCAGACTCTTCTCGTTACAAGGCCAGCGAGGTCGGAGACCATTAGGCCACTGGGATCCACCCGAAGTGCCAATCAGTTCTAACCAGTAGGGTACAGCAGATTAAAGGTGAGAATAGTTACTCATCAAAGAAGACATTGTGAAGTGGTCACGCTATGTCATGAATTTGCAAAAGTTAAAATCAGTGGGCCGTTGGATCGGATCCTAGTGGCTTAATGGTCTACGGGCTAGCTCGCCTTGTAACCGGAAGGTCATGGGTTCGAACCCCGGTGGGTGCATTCTGTTGGAGAGTCCCAAACTGGGATGAAACAGCTGTCCAGTACCCCTAGGTTTTCCAGTGGTTCTCTAAATCATGTCAGCTCATGATGAAATCCTGTAGCCAATAAATCAAATCCCTACAAACCGACACTTGAAAATTATTATTTATTTATTCGATATATCTTACAGTGAAATACTATTAATCACTGGATAACGTTCCGTACATTATTATTAATAGTATTCCCATTGGTTTTTATCGGAACATAGGGCTTCAGCAGCAAACTGCCGTCTCACTTTGTTCTCTGAATTCTTCTCTAACTGACTCCAAGATTGCCTATAAGCTTTCATTTAGAACTCATGAGATCTCCAATGTGTCACCCTTTGATTCACGCCAGACTCGTCGTTTACTACTTAGTTTCCAATAGAGGGCCTGACGCGCGATGTCACTCAGCGGTCTCCTCATCGTAGGTCCGGTGCATCTCCATTTTCTTCTGCACATTTGTTCAGCAGTAGGTCACTAATTGATTCTTTCCCAAAGTTTTATGTAGCTAATTCTTTCTAGCTGGCCATTTGTTCTTTGGAAGGGAGCTAGCGAAGGCAGCTGTTAATAAAAGTTTCGAGCAGCCTGTTAGAAATATTTTTGGTGACGTGCTGAGACGTTTTGACACATGTAGAAGAGCCGACTTAACACTAGTGTTGACAATCCGAATTCTGTTGTTTATGCTGAGTGCAGCAGATTTCCAAACTGTAACGATACACAACAACGAAACTTGATTTTTATAGTTATCGATTCCTTTCTTAGTTTTCCTATGGATGTCACAACTTTTGAAGAAGTCCAAGATAGGTGTTGAGTCACTCCAATTGCATATATTCTCCGTTGTTTTGACAAATAAAGACTGAGTGATGGGTTTATCTCCCTAAACACTCTCTTAGCGTCTGGGTGTTTATTTATGGAATCATCTGGAGATGCATGCAGTGGAAATGATTCGATACCTTTCCTAGACATCTTGAAAACCACACTACCTTAATGATGAGTGAGAAGCAAAACCAGGAAGTATAAAAATCAGGTTTCAAAGTTACGTGATTATAAGTGGCATGATTATGAACAATAAAATATGTTCAAAACATCATCCATTCAATAATAAAGTTTCATACTCTGGTATATTCAATGAAGAAATCAATATGAAATTGCACGCTACCACTGATTGTGTGACTTTACACACCAGGTCCTTGAGTTGTAGCCATATGGCAAGTGATATAACTGAAGTTCATGGAGAAAATCATGTTGTGGAATGTGCTACTGACAACATTTATCAGTAGTATATAAAGAGATGTTCATCGGTATAAAAATATCAAAAAGCAGGCAGGTAGATTTGATGTCAGAGAAAGCAAATTATAAAGAGCTGAGTAGACACATGGAAGATGTGAAAAGAACACAAAGAAACACAATATGAAGGGAGGCCACAAGTAGCACAACACGCGAGATCTGTGCAAATGGTACATTGAAGATAATGTGTGCATTTTTTTCCTTCAAGTTCCACAGTGGAACATAGGGCTTCAAGCCAGTGGATTGAAGTTTCTGTAGAAGTGTTTATTTTTACAGAATAGAGTTGCTAGCCTAATGCTCAACCTTTCCTCTTTATCATCATCCTCTCTGGCTTAGCGAGGTAAAGGAGTGCGTCTGTGGCCGGTGATTGAACCTGCAAGATCGGCTAAATAGAAATACCAAGTCATTCGTCTTAGACCTTTAAAATAAGAAGGAAAAATAAAGGCTAGTGAGGAGTCGCATAGATTTGAGTGCAATGAAGATGTCCCTCTTAAACTTTACATTCCATTCAGATTGTACGGAATGAATAATAATCATAATAGTAAGTCATAGAACGCTTCTGAAATTGAATTGTTACGATGTTTTAAAAGTAACACAAATTGTCTCAAATTTCTTTTCAGTAAGAAATTAAACAAACAGCTTGCAGCATCCCACTTTTCATTGGACACTGATTGATTGCTGAAAAAGGAGAAAAACTACGAGGACAAAACATGAGACGCGATATCAATCATCCCCAAATAAAGTTTAAAGCTTGTACAGATTTTATGAATGTAAATGCTTCCATTTAAAACAAGAAACACATTTATTTTTTTATTGAGTTTATCTTCCTCTGTATATATTCACTTTTTGGTGGCCTTCTTCTTCGCAGTACTTACAGGTGTTGACTTCTTCGACTGTGGTCGTGGATAAGCATCAACCAATTTCTTCAGAAATTCTTATAGGGAATTGATGTAATAGAGAAAAATATGAAAATAATAAATTACTTGAAATACTTTTATAACATTTGGTTAAATGTTCACTCCTTCATTTTATAAACAAACACACCCACCCATAGGTGGTTGAAAGCAATCAACAACAGCAAGACCGCAACCTATGTTTCGTGCTTATTGGCACTCTTCAGGAAGTGATATCCTCTCAGTTGTGGTAAGCATGTACACCTTATCCACTTCTGAAAACAGAGGATTTATCACTGGGTTATTCAGGTTGACGATTGACCCCTTACTGTAGCGTACTGGATGGAGTGTATCGGTAAATCATCTAGCTTAATGAACATATTCCAACCTTGACTGATGAAATCTAGTCAACGCCGACAGTAACAACTAGAAACATGACATTAATTACTTCTTAGAGATCAGTTAGTGTATGCATTATTGACCTACATAGACATTATTTCCTTTGAAGTAGTAGGCGTACTTTACTAAAAAAGTGCCAACAAGCCCGAAACCTTGGTGAGATGGCCTCTAGATGACTGCACCCCACCGCTTACATTTCTCCTAATTATTGTTCTTTGAAATTTCTTTTTGCCCTTTTCCTAAGTATTGATTTCCGGGAATTTGGTTGATTACAGTTTTCATCATGAGCTGAGAGCCGTTAGAGAACCACTAAGAAACCAGGAAGTACTGGACAGCTAAGTCTTTCTTATTTGGAACTCTTCAGCAGTACACACTCAGTGAAATCGCAGCCGAAGAGATTCCAGTTACAAAACGAGCTCATTGACCGTTCAGCCTCTAGGAGCCAATCTAGTGGCTCATGAATTCAAACTTCTACAAATTTGCGATATATATATATATACATAGCAACCACAAGCCAGTATTATTCTCAAGTAATTGTTCTCTTACCTGATTTGGTAGACTCCGTTGGTCACGTCATTTTTAACCTTACCTTTATGTGCTATATGGAGTATGGCAACTTAAACTGCTGCAGTTGAGTTCAGAGTTCTATGTTGAAACTCGGTCATTCAGTCAGTACATCCAAATCTTTAAGAAATTAGAGCAATACAACCCACTTGCAATAAATTATAACTTAACTGTGCAGATTACAGTTTCCCATCAGAATATAGTAAAGATCACTGAGAAGTCAGTCACCATTAAGCAATGATATATTTTTCACTGCAGTAGAATGAGGTTTGAAGTAGTGAGCACTTACACTTCCCCCTCGTTATAAAAGGTTAACTGAGGTTGAAGAGATGCGAAATGAAGGTCTCAAATGTAGTATACGAATAATATTCATGTTTTCTCACAATTACTGTTCTGCAGATACCAGTTAGAAACATTTTCTAGTTAGTTAGTTAGTTAGTTAGTTAGTTAGTTAGTTAGTTAGTTAGTTAGTTAGTTAGTTAGTTAGTTAGTTAGTTAGTTAGTTAGTTAGTTAGTTAGTTAGTTAGTTAGTTAGTTAGTTAGTTAGTTAGTTAGTTAGTTAGTTAGTTAGTTAGTTAGTTAGTTAGTTAGTTAGTTAGTTAGTTAGTTAGTTAGTTAGTTAGTTAGTTAGTTAGTTAGTTAGTTAGTTAGTTAGTTAGTTAGTTAGTTAGTTAGTTAGTTAGTTAGTTAGTTAGTTAGTTAGTTAGTTAGTTAGTTAGTTAGTTAGTTAGTTAGTTAGTTAGTTAGTTAGTTAGTTAGTTAGTTAGTTAGTTAGTTAGTTAGTTAGTTAGTTAGTTAGTTAGTTAGTTAGTTAGTTAGTTAGTTAGTTAGTTAGTTAGTTAGTTAGTTAGTTAGTTAGTTAGTTAGTTAGTTAGTTAGTTAGTTAGTTAGTTAGTTAGTTAGTTAGTTAGTTAGTTAGTTAGTTAGTTAGTTAGTTAGTTAGTTAGTTAGTTAGTTAGTTAGTTAGTTAGTTAGTTAGTTAGTTAGTTAGTTAGTTAGTTAGTTAGTTAGTTAGTTAGTTAGTTAGTTAGTTAGTTAGTTAGTTAGTTAGTTAGTTAGTTAGTTAGTTAGTTAGTTAGTTAGTTAGTTAGTTAGTTAGTTAGTTAGTTAGTTAGTTAGTTAGTTAGTTAGTTAGTTAGTTAGTTAGTTAGTTAGTTAGTTAGTTAGTTAGTTAGTTAAGTATTTACTATGTATTATAATTTCACATCAAAAGTAAGTGACATCAACCTACCATCATATGGCCATTTTCCATCGGATCCGGGAGCAGCTTCTTTAAAAAATTCATTACACTCCTTGTCTGTTAAACAATCACCAACTGTTAACAGCATAGTTTTCATTGGTTCTGTGTCCACCACACCAGATTCCAGTTTATCAAAATACTAAATGAAATAGAGGAAAAGGATAGGCGTATTAATAATGGAAAAGTAAGACATTAAACAAATATTGGTAGTAGTATTAATACTACTACTAGTAATAATGACATTATTACATAAATAAATGTATATTAAATATACTCACAAGAAATGCATTATTTATTTGATTCCAGCGTTCATCTCTTGTACGTGAATATGTTTTAATTATCTCAGTGAAATCTTCTAAATCCAATAGGATTGTTTCTATGAATTGAAATTAAAAATATTAAGAAATGCTGATAAGTGAGGTGAATAGGAAACAGGAAATTTACACGCCCGTTATAAATTCTCGTTGATAGTCTAAAAGTATATTTCCAAAATTGTTCAAATATGTGAATACTACCCTTAACTGCCAAGTCTAAATAATTCTCATATATATGTATAGTGCCACTAGTATCTTAACAAAATGTTTAAGAACAATAATCTTTCGAATAAAGAGTATAAGAAACAGCTGAAGTGGCTGCGAAGCAGCTGGGCCCCCGTGCGTGGTTGGTGTGCATTCTGTCCCAAAACCACAGGCACACACAGATATAGTCTTAGTGGATAGAAAATTCTACGTTGACAAAATGTTGGCAAGACTTAGAGACAAAATAAGTTCCCTGCTTCTAATGAAGAGGAAGATAAAACCACAACTAGGTGAAGCTCAATTCACAAGCATATTGAGAAGGCTGAAAAGTGATGAGTTAATGACAGAAGATGTCTGCAAATGCATGTGGCCAACCGGTTCAATAAAACTGGGAATGTTTGGGTTATCGAAAACACATAAAGATGGACTGCTTTTTGGCGCAGTTTTGAACATGTCTATATCCGTTTGTCATTCAACTGTGAAATGGCTAACAGAACTTCTACAGGCTTTTATAGAATGAATTTCGACATACTTTCATTTGGACACATTTGAATTCATCGGGTGTGTTGAAGAAGTGAGAGTAGTTGATAAATGCATGATATCACTTAACATCGAGTCACTCTTCACTACCCTGTACCAGCAAAGGAAGATAACGACTTGAATGTTGGAATATCAACTTCCAGGTTAAAAGAACTTCTACTTCTATGTCTTTACAAAGTTCAGTTTACTTTCAGTGGTTTAATCAGCGCTGAATAAAACGGCTCAGGCAGATAATTGCATGGAAACATCGATTTCCTTTCTGGATGTCAGGCTGACCAACAAGATTCATTTGACATTGATGAGATCAGTGTATAGAATGCCCACGTTGAATGACCCGGTTATAGATTTCTACGACCGCGTGCTCATAATTCGCTTAAGAAATCTGATAACACCTCTAGGGATCTGATCCAAAGATGTTATACGTGAATGTAGCCTTTGAAGGTGACTTTTCGGCCGACACTCTAAACGTTCTCAAAATATCGTTCTTTGCATCTACACTATAACTGGTATTCTGAAGCCATGGTAACAACTTTGTTGTTTTTTGATGACTTATTTTTGTTTATTTGCCTGTTTCTTTCCATTGTGAGTGAAATTGTAATCCAGCATAGAGCACAAGTTCTACTCGTATATGCCTGTTCCTTTAACTGCTTATAACCCTATTTTTACTAACACACAATTTTCTTGACCGTTTTGTATTATGTAATTCCATCCAAAACTCACTAATTCCCACCTGCTTAGTTAAAATAACCATAAACAATCGTATTTTTATTTTATTCAATTTTAGATTTTCCGTCAATTTATTGAACCCAAGTGCTCGGTACATCCAGTGACGAGTCCCAAATAGGACGAAATACGCATTCTGGATTTCCCTGTTAGTTGCCATCCACCAATTAATTTCCAGTCGTATTTTTTGTTTCATAAAGTTAATGTACACATACATATAAAATAACCCATATATATTTGCAATTGTACAGCTACGAAAAAGGATTTCGCCGAAAAGAGACTCTTCGTTGAACTACGTGTTTTGTTTTCACAGCGATATCCTGTCATAATTATCTCATTGGAGCTCTTCTGAGTGCATGCAACACATCACTTGTTCCTGTTTGACGATACATATATAGGTTGCTTACTGTATGTTTTATCTGAATGAGTCAAAGAATATTAGCCAGTAGGCCTGATGTAAGGCTACAATAAGTCAATAGAGGATGCCATATTAGAGAACTGGAGGTAATCGGCCACAGGAAGCCTTCCCTGACCTAAGTTCCACGCTAGCTGGCACTCAACAGTCAGCAAGGAGTTTCTGCAACCTTGAAGGAATTCAATTTCCTTTCTGAGATTCAAAGCCGCGTCACCCAATGCTGCAGTCAGAGACGTTACCACTAAGCTATTCGAGCTCGCAATTGACCTCCTGTAGGACTGTAGTGGGTAGTTTGATTGGACACTAGTAACTAGTGTGATGTGTAGACTGAATTCTATCGGTCACTACCCACTACAGTCCTACAGGGGGTCAATTTCGAGCCCGAATAGCACAGTGGTGACATCTCTGACTGTAGCACCGGGTGACGCGAGTTCAAATTTCAGAAGGGACATGAATTCCTTCAAGGTTGCAGAAACGTCTTGCTGACCGGTGAGTGCCAACTAGCACAAAACCTAGGTCCAAGGCTTCCTGTGGCCGATTGTCTTCAACCATCTAATATCATCAAATCAATGTTAACCGTGATGACAAGCTACCTAGAATGGTGGCCTCATTACAAACCTGACTGATAGAATTCAGTCTGCAACAAAGAAAGGATTAGACACGTCACATTAGTTACTAGTGTCCAATCAGAGGATGCTGTAATCGAACACATTCTACACTGTTGAATTAAACTCCAGGGAGAAATAATCCAAATTTATCTACAAATTCATTCTTTCTAAAACGTTATATTTCCGTATTCTTTGCATTATTGAGGCTCTTGCCATTCAAATGGAAAACACTGATTTATGTACACAGAAGAAACTTTTCTATCTACCTTTTCTAATTTAGAATTAATTTTATACTCAACCGTTATCAATATTTTCCTATCCCTACTATTTTTTTTCCATTTTTTGTCTTATATATCTGGTATTACAATAAGTTCACCTGTTACGTAATATACGATTTCATACTTTTCTCTATGCTCTCTTCCATTAACAACCAACTTTTGCAAACTTTATTTTTTCTTATAACTCAAGTTTTCGTCTTAAACTCATTAATCTTCACACCTATATTTAGAGTTTGAGTATTCTTTACTGTTTCAAAAAATGTTGGTATAGACAATATTCCAAACACTAATTCATTTTTATCTTTCTGTGCGTTATATTTGACAAACTGAATGTACACACAAACACATATAAAAATGATTACATACAACTCTCACTGAGCAACTATGTGAATGAATTCATCCTGAAAATAAGTCACATCCCTGAAGTGTTTTATTCTGCTTTTCACCTCTACTGTACCCTTCCTCTGTATTCCTAGTTCAGCCTATTTCAATCAAATAAATCTTAAAATTCTTCATGAAAAAAATGCCTTGGACTGTTTGTTTTTTAACAATGTAACGGAACTTATTTTTGCCTTCAAATTAAGCTTTCTTTTTGATTCGCTTCAGTATTTAATACATAGTCATTATCAAATCGAATTGACAATTTGTAGTTTGCATAGTACAAGATTAAATTTCACCACAGTCACACTGACAATTATACATCTCATCCAACAGTTGTACGGCAATGCTGCATGCCAAGCAGTCCACAACGGGAAATTTATGGAATCCTTCGAAATGAAGACAGGAGTAAGACAAGCTAACTGCGTACCATCGCCAATGATTTTCTTGATTGCAGTAGATTGGATAATGGGACAGACAGCGGGCAATGAGGAGACAGGCACTCACACAAAACAAGACCTTGGAGGATCTGGACTTCGCCGGTGATTATATATATCTGATTTCCCACAAACTGGAAGATATGCAAGTGAAAAGCAACAAGCTGGCAGAAGAAGCATTAAAGATAGGACTTGAAGTGAACATGGATAAAACAGAGGTGATGAAGATTCCTGGCCAACAGCAACAGCAACAACAACAGACAACAATCAGCCAGCATAAATGGGAGGAACCTGAAAGAAACAACCTCCTTTACCTACCTACCGGAAAGCATCGTTTCAACTACAGGCGGAACTGACAAGGATATCAAAGCCAAAATCGGAAAAGCAAGACAAGCTTTCATTATTCTCAAGTCTGTGTGGAGGCGATCAACAGCACTCAGCATCAAAAATAACATCCGGATTTTCAACTCCAATGTGAAGTCTGTGCTACTCACTATATGGATCAGAAACTTGGTGCGTCATAAAGAGCATCTCAAACAAACTTCAGACCTTCATTAACAGTTGTCTTTGCTTCATAACACTCAAGATCAGATGGCCGGCCAGAAATGATCAGCAGCAGGGATCTCTGGTAATGAGCGAACCAATCAGGAACGATTGTGAAACAAATAGGCAGGAAGAAATGGAGATGGATTGGCCATACGCTGAGGAAACCATCAAGTGACATCACTAGACAAGCCCTCGATTGGAACCTGGCCGAAAGGGAAGCGTCGAGTTAGTCGTCAGTGTGAGGGTGACTTGGAGGAGGTCATATGAAGAGGAGATGAAAGCATGTGGGCATACCTGGAGTCAGGTGAAAACGTTGGCAGAGAACCGAACGCAATGGAGACGTGCAGCTGAAGGCCTATGTTCCTTTAGGAAGTAGAGGAAATAATAACAAATACAATCCCCTTTGGAAACCAAGTCACAATATCTGATCTACTTGATACTATAAATGGAAATCAAGAAAGTAAGCATAGCTGCATTACGCCATATAGTAACGATTGTTCTACATGAGGAGTTGAATGCCATTCATATCAGTCGGTAATGCTTACCAGCCAGTCAGATTCAAGTGTTCTGAACACCTAATTAGCATTTCATTCATTTCAAGATGAGATCATTAGCGGTGTCTTCCTGTGTGACTGAAATCATAGAGGTGCATCAACTCAAACCACCAAAATTTCTAGCTACCTGCTCGGACGACTTGGTAAAATACGTTGAGAACCGAATTCTCAATTTGCAATTAACGCAGTTTTGAGGTGAAATTTCACCACATAGTCTCCTGCATATCACTAGCTTTTAAACAAGTGGAAGCTCGACTGCTGTATGCAATAAATATATTCAAAAATGAAGAGCATTGAATCATAAAGGATTATGTTTTTACCTATACAAACAAATGATTATTTAAACAAATGATTAGTAGTTGAAAAAAGACTGAAAAAAAAACATATTTTTTAAAGAAATTGTTATAATTTATGAAGAAAAACAGTTTTAAAATGAAAATTCCACATAAATCATTTCGACGTAGATGAGCTCACGCACTTGAGCGCGCACACAAACACACACAGACATCGACATATACTACTTATATAAAAGTAAACTGGACATCGATATATTACCGTTCTACTCTCCTAAATACACACAATCATGAACGAATGTATTAGCCAAGACGAAGTCATTGCTATTAATATTATGAAGATTATTATTAGCAGTAGTAGTTATTGTTGTTGTACTATTCGTAATGATCAATACAACGCTTATGTCAGTTCCACTCCCCTCTTCACCTCCCTAAGAAGCACGATGACGTATCCTTATTAGTGGAATATTTTAATTCATAATTTATTATTATATTGTGTGTGTTAGTGTTTGTAAAGTTAATTTGCCATTCAAGTCAATTCTACTAAGTTATAATATTGTGTTTCATCAAGTTCATAGTGTAACAATGGTAGACAAGACACAGAATTCAAGGTATATTTTCAGGTGATCAAATCGCTATTTCTATGGGTACAGTTTATTAATTTCCAGTCAATCATTGAGCGTGTGATTTCGGCTTACGTTAAACGACATGAGATAGAATGTTCAAATACATACATAGTATTCTCTTGCTAATCCAGTACTGAACTGAGAGAATAATATTCTGACTTTAGCAAAAAAACAGTATGTTCATATAGATATGATGGAGAAGACTTGTAGCTCAGGTGAATGATTTTGGTGAAGATTTCTTCTCTGAACTGCGTAGTTAATTTGCGAAGCTTTCATCGCCCTACTTGCTAGGCGACATCTTCAGCGAATACTTCAATTCCAAGTGTGCTTTTAGATTTCTCCACGAGTTTATTAATCATCTCTCCTGGTGACCACCTTGAACGTGATTGGTTGTTTTTGTTTGCTTTTACACCTTCTGAGTTACTTGTATTGGAACTGATCGTTCTTCGACCTGAACTTTGACCCTTTGTGTGTGTGAGATTTCCTTCTTATCGGTTAATAAATTTTGTCTATATCAATGTGTCTATTGATTGACGATTCACTAGAATACCAGGCTTGTAAAAATTCTCTAACATTCTTATTGTTTTCTCTATCTAATATCTGATCGCTGTCCCAGTCGAAGTGACGTCCGTAGTTGTCTGTCTGAAGTGATATGAGGGATTGGATGTCATATCTTTTGACGGCTAGCTTATCTTCGTAGATACGAAGACGAAGGGGACGTCCACTTTGGCCAATGTAGTATTTTTCACAGTTGTTACAATTTATTTTGTAGATGATGTTGGTTTTATCTTTGTTCGCTGTTGAGTCTTTTGGTTGACATAGAATTTAGTGAAGTGACTTTGTTGGTTTGTGTACGACGTCAATTCCTGGAGGTTTGAAGAGTCTTGTAGTGATTTCTGAGGTATCCTTTATATATGGTAAGGCGATTCTCTTTGTGCTTTCCTTGGTGGCTTTTACTTTGATAGGTTGGCTTGGGGGTATATGTTGAAATAAATATATCGTATTCTGTTGCTAACGCTCTACTGAATTGTGGGAATATGTGAGAATCATATTCCCTTGAAAATTATTCGGTATTCTTCTAAGGTTGACATTTTAATCGAATTTAAAACAAATAATATCACTAATTCTCTTTCAGTATTTGGTTATGGTTACTGCGGTGTCTAAGATAGGAGTAATGCGTTGCAAAGTACTCAAATTATCCTTCTCAACAACATCTTCAGTAGTGAATTTCTGAGTACATCGTCTTGAAGGATAGTGAAAATTTTGCAGTTAAAACAACCTAACTAACAGAACACTCAATAATCCTAAAACACCATAGTCTAAGCTACAAACCCTCTCTACCACGAACCTACCAGATACTACGCTAATCAGCTAACGCGTTGTTTAATTCAATTTTAGATTTTCCAGTCGATTGATTGGACTGAAGTGCTCGATCTCAGGCTGACATGTCGGCTTCTTGTGCTGATGCTTCAATGATGTCTTAGCATGTAGTTAGAAGTTAATTGGTGGATGGCGACTAGCAGTGGAATCCAGGATGCTCATTTAGTCCTATTTGGGACTTGCCAGCTGGATGTACCTGCATTTCGCAGTGAGTTTCCACCGAGGTTCGAAACCAATGCTCATAGTTTCAAACGCCAAAGCGTTATCCACTAGACCATTCGGGCCACGAGAGCCACCTCTTTTGCAGTGGGTCATATTAATCATTTAATTCAATTGTAGATTTTTCCCATCGATTGACTGAACCGAAGTACTCGGTACATCCAGATGATGAGTCCGAAATAGGACGAAATGCTGATATTGGATTCCTTTGCTAGTCATCATCTACCAACTAAGAGCTAATGGATTATTCACAAACTCAAAATCCATCTCAGATAGTCCGAAAGTTAACTGTAAACAACATTATTGCCATTTATTTACTTGGCATTGAAATGAAATAACAATAATAAGAGGAAAATAATACTGTAACATGGTTAGTTGTTACCTTCTCGTAGAAAGGTGTACAAGTATACTTACCTGGTTTAGCCTCTTCCATATCATCAGGTGTATAATCAGAATAAATTTTATTTAAATCAGCTTGTGTTGGACACTGATTTAACATTTGCAGACAACGACATATCTGACTTAGAGTAACTTTCCTACTTCTCGCTGATGCCGTTGAATCATAAATACCTTCAGAGGAATAGGTGAAATAAATATGGGTTATAATACCCCATTAGAGAGATATGTCACTTGCAATATGAATAAACAAAATGGATGTTATTAGATCTCGAGCCCGAACAGCTTAGTGGTAACATCTCTTAGTGTAGCACTGGGTGACACTGGTTCGAATCTCAGAAGGGATTTGAGCTCCTTCAAGGTTGCAGGTGCGCCTTATTAACGAGTGCCAACTAGCACGAAACCTAGGTCCAAGCCTTCCTGCCGATTGCCTCCAAATCAATGTGCACCGTGATGGCGAGCTACCTAGAACGTGACCACAGTGCAAAACCTGACTGATAGTATTCAGTCTGCACCAAAGAAAGGGCTAGACACATCACACTAGTTACTAGTATCCAATCAAAGCAAAATGAATGTTTTCAGACGAACTGTAGAGTTCAGCGTAAATGTAGAATTCAAGAACTGTAGAACTGTAGAATATATAGTTCTGTATTAGATAAGTTCCTTTTATAATACACAGTGATATAATATAGATTACTGGATGACAATTCAAATATCAATTATTGTTAATAATCATATCAAAGCTTTACCAAACATGTTCATGTCTTCTCCATGTAACAGATTTCGACTTCATGCTATTCTCAAATCAGCAATGTACTAGATTTTATGCACCTCCTTCCCTTGATCAACATGAACAAAGGAGGAATAACAGACTGAACCGGATAATATATCACCATTTTATATCATTGGATCTTACCAACTGCATACAATCTAAAATCCTTTCAGTATCTTTTTTCAAATGCTCACATACTAACGTATGTTAAAGGACTATAGATGTCATTAAGCCTGTTTGTAGATGTTAGAAAAGTTACAGGGATATGCTAGAGTCGGGCACAGTTTGTCAATTGACAATTTCGGGTGACTGCATATCTAAGAATATTCCAAGAAAGCTGCGGCTAAGTGGTACAGAGGTATTTAGTAGTACGATCCCTCGTCACCTGGTGTATAAGACCCGCGCTGAGGCTACCGTTGAGTGAAAACACGTCCCAGGCACTCAAGTGGAAATATGAATGAGAAACAATGGCTTGGGCGTCAGAAGAGATCATTTGATGCGGAGATGAGTGCTTATGTGCAGTCGTGAAACCAGTTAAAGAGGACTGCAGAGAACTGGATGAAATGGAGATATGTTCTTGGTTTCATTAAACTAGCAAAGGGAACTGCATAATCATACTGAGAATTCATGTCTATCTTATAGTGTTTAAATATTCAAATTATGAAGTTATCAAAAACGTATTTTATATCATAATGGTATAACTAAAATAACTGCAGCTACTCACATAATTAAGTAGTATAAACGTTCATCATAAAAAATGTTTAACAAAGGTTTGGTAGTTAACTACTTTCCACCAACATTATTTCACTCATTTAATTGAATTTTAGATTTTCCTGTCGATTGATTGGAACGAAGTGCTCGGTCTTAGTTTGGCATGTTGGCATCTTCTGCAGATGCTTCGACAATGCCTGAGGATATAATTAGAAGTTAATTGGTGGATTATGACTAGAAGTGGAATCTAGGATGCGCATTTCGTCCTATTTGCAGGTACATCCAGCGACGAGTCCCAAATAGGACGAAATGCGCCTCCTGGGTTCCACTGCTAGTCATCACCCACCAATTAACCTGTAATTATTTCACTTAGTTAAATCAAGTTTGGAATATACAAATAGTAAACCTCACTGATGGTGATCAGCGGTGTAGGGAATACAGGACATATGTAATAGAAAAGATTTGTAACTCAGGTGGATGATTTGGAATTGATAGTGTTCTCTGAGCTCCTTGGTTTAATTGCGGAGCTTTCATCGTCTTTCTGGACGACATCTTCAGCGCAGTATTTAGGATAAAATGAAATGATTTAAATTTCTTCATGAGTCTCCCGGTAACCATCTTTAGATATTTATTGACCGTTTTCTATTGATTGGGATTTTAAACTTTCTGATCACCTGATTTACTTCTTATTAGTTGGTATATTTCATCTATAAACACGTTAATATAGATGAAATATACCAACTAATAAGAAGTAAATCAGGTGATCAGAAAGTTTAAAATCCCAATCAATAGAAAACGGTCAATAAATATCTAAAGATGGTTACCGGGAGACTCATGAAGAAATTTAAATCATTTCATTTTATCCTAAATACTGCGCTGAAGATGTCGTCCAGAAAGACGATGAAAGCTCCGCAATTAAACCAAGGAGCTCAGAGAACACTATCAATTCCAAAACAGGACATATGTTTCTGGCTTGGATTTCGATCATCAGATAGGTGTAAGTACATCCCATTGAGCCATAGTGTTCCAGCTGATACGCAAACGAATCACCCTCTATTTCAAATAGTAAAACGTTATACTCTAGTGTACTGAGTCGCGCTAACCATCCCTTATGCAATGAGAATGAATTCAATTTTTTTATTTATACTTCTGGCCTCCCGCTTGTATGTATCTGCATTTATTCATTTCGGTATAGGAACTTGTTTAAAAGAGGCTTTTAATGAATAACTACTTGACCTAACTTGTTTAGTGATGGCTTACAGGAGAATCCAGGAAGTATATTCCATGTTGTTTAGAACTTATAAGCTAGATATTACTGCTTTCCATTAAGTGATGGTGCTCCTACTAAAACTTGAACCAAGAACCCATGTTACCAAATGACAGATAGAATATTGAGTCGGTGGCACAGTGGTTAGGACTCTCGCCGAGCATGCACATGGTCCGGGGTTCGAGCCCACGCCGGCGCACACCTGATATCTATGGTCGGCCTGCGAGTTTTGGGCTACCGATATCCATGCTGAAAATTCCACACTTGTCCCAAAATTACGGTGTGGAATCAAGCTGTAATCAAAAATAAAAAATAAATAAAATAAAAAATTCACAGTGGATATCAGTTTTATTAAATAATCACAAATAAATACACATAACTGATCAAATATGTCTATTAGAAATCTCAAAAGACTTATTAATCAACAAAGAGTATTCATTTCGATAACTTGTTGATCAGGTTCTACAGTTAGATATCCATGATTGTCAGAGAATTTCTGCTATTGGTGACATAAAGAATATACATTAAAAGAACTTTTGGTGGTAGCAATGTGCCAATCATACTTTTCACACAACCGCTTCTGATTCCTCAAGTGAGAACTATAGTACTTTGGCTAGCTGCCTCTAATTTTATCTACCGATTTAATTGCGTCTGTGGAGCTAGTTATATTGGCTGTTACTTCTGGAACAACTAACAGTGTGATTAGATAAGGTGTATTGAAAACTACCAACTGTTGACTATCAGATCACCTGATCCAAACAGGCCGTAAACCCAACGGTGAAGAATCTTTCTGCATTACCTATCGGGTACCAGATAAATTACCGAAAGTCTCCGGCTACCGAGTAATCAAAACAGCAGAGGTTAAGGCGATTCGTCTTAAGCATCTGGTGTTTTGTATGCATAAAAACAGGTCTAGCAATTATTGTTAACCTCGCCAGCTGTGGAGTCTATAAATTCATAAATACTGCCATTACGTCAGTCTTTTAGGCATGACCATCCATCCTGTGTATGTAAATTTGCTTACGCCTCATTATTGCACCTACGTAAAAAACAATTTGTTTTTTTATTTACAGTTAACTTGACACACACACACACCCAAAACCTTCTACCCTATTTTCTCTCCCTGTTTTTGTTTTCATCATTTATCTATATTAAAAGTCAATCTGAACGAAGAACATTCTTTTCAATAATTTCCCCTCTTCAGGTTCTTACAATTATAAAGCATAATGCATTTGTTGTCATTACCAGTTATGCGGCGGACACATTTTTAACGTAGAATAACGGATTAGTTATGGGGTGTCAAGATAAATAGTCGTATTTGTGTGACAAACGTGCTAGGTGGCTGAAATCGATTACAAAATATTGTAAAATGGGAGACAATGGTGGTGGTGATTAGTCATAATAGATTTGTAGAGTGTGGGGTAGGAAAATTGACAAATCAGTTCAAGGTTATAAAAGGTGTCATCTATATGAAGTTTACAATCAATATGAACACTAATCATGAGCATTTATATATATATATATATATATATATGCGTCGGTGGCACAGTGGTTAGGACTCTCGCCGACCATGCACATGGTGCGGGGTTCGAGCCCAAGCCGGCGCACACCTGATATCTATGGTCGGCCTGCAAAATTTGGGCTACCGATATCCATGCTGAAAATTCCATACATGTACCAAAAATACGGTGTGGAATCAAGCTGTAAATCAAAAAATAAAAAATAAATATATTCGCTGTTACTGATGCTCATTTACTTTAGAATACTCTATTATTTCAGAATACTGGTGTCCTATTTATGCATATTATCACATAACAAATGTTTTAAACTATTATCTATTACAGCAACACATTTAAGCGAACAATATTGTGTTTTCAATTAAATCTCATCAGGCATAACTCTAATGTACATAACTTTACAAATAAAAATTCAATATAAACCAATCATGGTGTTTTGTCTATAGGATGATAAGATGGTGAATATAAACTGTGCAATTAGTATAATAGTAGTAATGAAAATAATAATTACCTCTATCAAAACAAAGATGAGAAAGTGAGGCGATTTGTGATAACAAGAGTAACGAAAAACAGCATAATTAAAGAAACAAATGTTCAGGTAGACGCAGTAGTCGAAAAGGGCTAAGAAAAACAAATGAACCGATTAACTAATGCTAGATTAGGAGGAAGTACATGAAACACGTTTTAATGAAGATGTGACAAGATTAAGGGATGATAAGAGAGGCGAGTTGAAAATATAATTAAGGGATGGTGGAGAAGTCATCAGTTGATTATGTCTTAATAGACCAAGGGAGGGATAACGGCTATACGAACTTCTTTTGAATGCATAGTTTAGGTTTAATAGTTCAGATGCCTATCACTTCAGCTGTATACAGTAGGCGAATACGAAGTCTATTGGAAAGATACAGTGGTGTGAAATGAATTTCCTTGAAAGCTTTCATTTTCTCAACTACATGACCACTATCAATTAAATGTGACAAAATGAAGTGACGGATTGTTTTTGTCTGTCCTTTGCCAAACCACGATGGGAGGTGTTCACTAACACGCTGGCTTAGTTGTCTAGTAGTACACCCAACATAACTGTCACCGTAGATGCCGCTGAAGTGATAAATTCACACAGATATGGAAAAACTATCAAGCTTATCCTTCATTTGCATCCGATCATTCATCGGCTAGAGAATGATAAACATAGGCTTGTTGTGTAAAAAGTTCTTCGTATACTCCTGAAAGTTTTTGGAATAAAATCTCACTTGACAGTCACCATTAAATTATCTATTTACAATCTATTTGCATATAACTTTTGAAATTTTGATGCTAATGATTCGACACCATCTAAGAAAACAATAATGTCATCACTCATAATAATAATTCCATAGTTATTATTAGATATATAACTGTAAAGCCTGATGAAATTATCACGAAGAACATCCCTTGTTCAGTAATCAGTCTTTTGAAATACACATAAGACAAAAATGAAAGGAGATATATAAAAAGTTGCATACTTTTGATGACAGTGTCTTTCAGCTCTTGACTATTCTGTCTACTAACAGTTTTCTCGTCTTCGCCTTCTTTCTTCTCAATAGTATCCTCCTGACAACAACAGCAACAATAACAACAAAAATGTTAACTACGGAGAAAATCGTTTACTAACAACACTCATTCTAAATTATGAATGTGGTAAGTACTTCAAAGAGACAGATAGTTAACAGGATTCTGAACACAAGGCATTAAATAATTTTTATGCACAGTTGTACCTACTTTTTGTCATTTCGAATTTGGGAATCATTGACAGTACACATCCACTGGGTTTCGATCCCAAGACCATGAGTCGGGCTATTGAACCGGGTCTCAGTGGCTGGATGGTGAACGAGCTAGTCTTATAAGCGGAAGGTCCTGGATTTGAAACCCAGTGGTTTGAATACCGGCCATTTCACATTTCTCAAAAATGGTATTAGGAATGATTGATCTTAAATACACAAACAGAAATATCAGTACTATTTTCATTATTCCTTTGGATTTCAAGTGGAACATAGGGATTTAGAGGAAAATATCTATTTCATCCTGTTCCCTGTGATCCACTTTAGCTGGGTTTACGATAGCCCATAGGATTTCATCTCCCTCTCACGTGATCTCGATATCAGCTTCGGACCACAGCCCAACTTATCGTTTTTACAAAAAAATTCACATTTGATTGTATTCTTATGAACGTATTATTTATTAATATTATTGTTCCCTTTAGTTCCTAGTAGAACATGGGCTTCAACTGCACGTCTCCGCTTGCTTCTGTCTTCTGCTGTATTTTTCACCTGCATCCATTTTAGTCCATACTGTTTCAAATCCTCTTCACGTGATCTCCTTCATGTCACACATGCACCGACGACCCACTCACCGCTTCCCTTTCAGGTTCCACTCGAGCAATGGCCTGACGCGCGCGCGATGTCACCCAGCGGCCTCCTCAGCGAGTGTCCAATCCATCTTCACTTTCTCCTGCATAATTGTTGGGCGATTGATTGGTCCTTGTTTTGTTTGTTCCCATAATTTCTTGTTAGTGATTCTTTCCGGCCCGGCCATCTGATCTTCAGTATAGAGCGAAGACAGTTGTTGGTTGATGAATGTCTGCAACTGGCTGTTGGAAATATCCTTTGTGACCCGACCGCCAAGTTTCCGATCCGTATAGAAGAACTGACTCGACGATTGTATTGAAAATCCGAATTTTGTTGTTGATCCTGAGTGACGAAGATTTCCAGTTTGGTTTCAGGTTGATGAATGTGTTTCTCGCCTTTCCGATTCTCGATTTTACATCTTCGTCCTCGCCTAGATTACTAGCTCGCAAGTTTTCGAGCCGATCCCAAGCCCAGATAAAGAGGGAGGGTTGGGACACGGTGCTAGCAACTCCACTGCTAAAACTTAACCAAACTGCTAGAGAAACTTCAACGCATAAATATATTAAAAATACTTATGAATATATACCTGAAATTAATAATACATTTTTTTCTTAAATTCAAAACGACCTCTAATTAGTTTCCATGTTTTGAAGAAATTGAACATTTAACAATGTAAGATGTAATATGGAGTCTAGAAATTCCACAACTCTTCAAATGGTAATTACAAAATATGTAGAAAGATAAAATTTAATCCGGACAGAATCAGAATTGTGACATGATTCATTTTCACGGTTCATCAATATACAAAAATCACCCCAGTCTCTCATTAGTCAACTGACTAGCCTATTTAAACTAGTCACACAAGATTGTGCTGTTCAATTGAATAGCTTAGTTGTAGACAATTCACAAACCAGGTAATGATGGATTTCACTGAAACGTTTTAATACAAATAAGGAACAGACTATTCGGGTAATTCTAAAGCCTGTCTTTGAGTCAGTAATTCGGTTATAGAATGTTTACCAGACAAGTTTATTTCTTTGGTTCGATTCCCAGAACCAACGAAAGAGAATGTGAGGCAAGCAACCCTACCTCCTCTCGTAAAAGGACACCATTGCTACTGAAACTTCAAAGTTCAGGCTTGAAGCTCTATGCCCCTTCTCGAAACGTAAAATAAATAGAAGAAGGACTGCCTTTACTCTATAACACATTAAGCCTCTTTCTAATTACACTAGAATTGCTGTCACCAGTGAATCAACCTAGACATTATCATGTGTAAAAATGTATACTGTACAGATTCGTGAACACATTTACTTATTTTCTATAGTTGGTTTGCAAGGATTAGATTTGTTTTTACGAGTTGATTATGGATTGATATCAGTTAGAGGACCATTGAAAATCAGTAACGAGTACTGGAAAGCTGCTTCATCTTAGTTTGAGGATCATCGGCAGTACGCACCCAGTGAGGTCCATCTAGTCAAGTGTGAGGATGGATGTCCCACCGATGACATCGGTTTGTTGTCAGGCTAAAATCACGAATTGTCAGAAGTTAAAATTCGTGGGCTTGCCATTGGGGAGTCAGGTCCCAGTGGCTGAATGGTATACGAGCTTTCCTTGTAACCAGAAGGTCCTGGATTCGAACCACAATGGGTGCGTACTGCCAATGATTTCCAAACTAGGATGAAACAACTGTCCAGTACTCGTTACTTGTTTTCAATGTTTATCTAACTGATATCAACCCGTGATCAATTCGTAATAACATTTACTTACTACTGAAATTTGATTAAATATGGAAACAATATACTTATATTAACAGAAATGACTTACCATAATATAATTGGAACTGCCGGGTCAGTCAGTTGGTTTAAAGTGGATTAGATTCCTTCACTTCCTACTGATAATTTACTAAAATTATATAGTAGATATCATGATAGTGTTATTATGTTAGTTAAGAAGGTAACTGAAGTAACTGCATCCAAAACGTTATCTGCATACATTGGGATATTCGAAACATATATTTCATAAAGAATCAAATCAGCTGAGGAACAAATAATTCTGAAAACATTTTTCGTCTTAATCTGAAGCTCTTCTTAAATGCTTAAACCTGTTTTCGTTGGCCCTAACTAGTTAGAATTCTTGACTAGTGGTACCAAACATCCATCTACTACCCCCTTGTTTTAATCGATTCTTCAAGTTGACGCTGGCGCTAATTACGATACTAAGATACTTAGAAAATATTAGAATTTATAGATCATTAAAGCCCTCCAGCGAAAATGATTTAACTAATAAAGGCAGGATTGAGAAAGAAAATCAAGCGTTTATTTATCTGAAATCCGTGTGGAAATCTTCTGTAGTCAGGATAAGGAACAAGATGCGAATTGACAGAATTCAGAATTCATGGGTCACTTTGATCGGATCCAAGTGGCTAAATGGTCTACGAGCTCGTATTGTAACCAGAAGGTCCTGGATTCGTATCCAGGTAGTGGGTGCGTAAAGGTAAAGAGTCCCAAACTAGGATGAAACAGCTATCTAGTACCCTCAGGTTTTCCAGGGGCTCTTTAACTTACGTCAGCTTATGATGAAATCCTGTAACCAAGATCCGAATTCTGTTCACCATTAATGTTAAGTCAGTGCTTCTCTGTGGTTCACAGACGATAGTATATTCCAACAGCCTATTGCGAGCTTTCATCAAGAGTCGCCTTCACCAACCCCATACTGAACATCAGATGACCAACCAGCAAGGATAAGCAATAAAGAACTCTGGGAAGAAACGAAACCACAAACCTATCACACAAGAAATGCACAGAAGCAAATGCATATCGATCGGACATATTCTGTGGAGATAGTTGAATGACAATACCCACCAAGCTCACGAGTTAAACTCGAATGCTAAACGATGAATTGGGCTCTGATTTTACAGTGAAATGGAGCTAGCTCTCAAAAAAAAACGCTGCAGAGAACACAATGAAATGATGATCTGCTATCCAAGCCCTATGTCCCACTTAGAACCCACGCGAATAATAATGATGAAGTTCAATTCAAATAGTTCAATCTCAAGCAATCCATATTCATCAAAAATTAACTAGATAAAATAAAATACTTTCATTCAATCGTATGCTGTCAAGGTTACTCGAATACACAAATCCACAGACTTAACTAAAACAAAATATCAACGCTATAGTTACTATAGTTACATGAGTACATACATGTATAGAGAATCATTTAAGAAATGTTTTCACTTACAATTCGCGCTTTTTCAACAATATAATTTATTTGAAAGATTTAAACAAAATTTATGATGTAATCAATCCCTCATTCTCCTCCTTTTCTCACCATATGAAGGAGTCTGTATGCGTGTGTGTCTAAGACAAACAGAGAATGAATAAAGTGCTATATGTACAGAGAATCAATGAATAATTGACAGATATATGTATTGAAATTCTAATCAACACTAATTCTGATTGGTTCAACAACCAACCAACTCTTTACTACTTTTATGACACTAATGAATAGGTAATTCAACATTAAAAGTGCAGATTTTATATTTGTCAACAAGAAAAGAACATTGTTTATCTTCCAGTTGAATTTGAGGTTTATTTACGTGTTTGCGTGTTGTTGTTGTTTTTTGAGTACTTTATTTATTTACCTTTATTCATTTCGTCCTTTCTTATAATTGTTAAGATATTCTTTATTTATCTATTCAAATGTTAAAGTACTTATTATTCTTTTATTATTTAGTAAACTAATTTGAAAAATTGTTTAATTAGATTTTGTACTTCCCGTTGGTTGAGTGATTGATTATATTGGACAGAAACGCCCAGTTTCTGTTGTCGTTTCATCTCCTAGTACGGACACTTCAGTGGTGTAAGAGGATTTACATGATATCATGTGGTGAACAGTCACTTACACTGTGTTCCACAATGAGGATTTTTTCCTTTTTTGAAACACCCCAACTAAATCCCCCCCAGTGAGTGATAGTGTTCTCACAGAGACAAGAATCCCTCACTCTTCATTTCAAACACCAAACGGTTGTCTACTAGACCACTTAGGACATGACAGCCACCTGTTATTCAAGGGGTACCAAGTGATGGTCTAGAGTCTTAGTGGGAACACTGTCACTCACTAGGTTTGGATTGCAGATACATCCAGATAACGGGTCCCAAGTAGGAAACCAATGGGAATCACCATCTGTCGAATAGTTTCGAAATTGACTTCTCAGACACTCAAGGGTGTAAAAAAGGGTAAACACTCTACTTAGACGATGAATCTTGACACAGATTTCGATACTTGTTTGATGAAGTGACTAGCATTGAGATCCAGGAGGCATATTCCATCTCATCTCATCTGGAACGAGTCATTTATGTTGCTTAGGGTCGATATTACCGGAATGAGGTTTTACAATTCAGTCTGGATAATGCCAACCGGAAATTATAATTGTGATAAAGGAACTTACACTCAATCGGATGGAAAGTTTACGCTGTCATGTTGATATGTTATGTAATGTTAAGAATAATGAAGTTACTTTTACGCGGCTGGAGACTCTAATTCGATAACCGATATAACTTCAATAAAATGACGTGGGCAGTTACAAGGTGAATAAGTACTGGGTATAAAAATAGGATTCACACACACAGACAAACTGATAGATAGAACTGTACATTGGTTAACCAAGAATTTTCCATCAGATACCTTGTTTTCATGACCACAATGGAAAAGTATATTTTTCAAAAAACCACTGTAGTGCTACAGTAAAAAGATGACAGGAAATACATCTAAGATAAGCACATCACCGTTTAACTGTCTTTCTGCAGTCGCTTTCATCTGGCTCTACTATTGCTCATAGGCCAACATCTCCTCCTTTCTCATACGATCTCCTTCATATCATATTCAGACTAGTGTCCAACTTATCGTTCTTCACTTAAACTCCACTCGACAGACTGGAATATGATTTCACTCGATGGTGTTCTTGGCGTTTGTCCAATCTATCTTCATTTTCTTCCAAGAAATTTGTTCTTCAATAGGTTCTTCGTTGGTTTGTTGCCAAAGTAATCAGAATGACGGCTAGAACTCTTAAAACCCTCTACAAATTAATGTATCTCCAAATTTGCACGTTTAATAACATTGTAGCAAATCACTGATTTCCCCTTCGAAAGCTTCAAATGGTATATATTGACACTAAATAAGCTATACCGACAGTAACAGTGTCATGAATTAACAGAATTTAAAATTCGTATGGTAATTAAATCTCATGATGGTATTTACTAATTATTGATATCAGTAGTTAGTAATCACTCGAAAATTGAGAATTTGTATCCAGTTAAATTACGAATCCGTAGATGAACAATTAAGTGTTGGCCTCACATCATGAATGTATTCCGTACAGTCTCTAATGTAGTCTGGAATGTGTATTACAAGAAAGCCTGCCGGTAATTGAACTCATCGCCACATACGTAATTGCTCAGTCATTTTACCACTGAACCACCAGCACGTAAGCTGTGTAGTTCATGGTTAATTTCCGATTGTAATGTAGATGAATCGCTAAGCTTACAATGAATTCTGTCCAGTTAAACCATAATATGTAGTCGAAGGTTACATGAAGTTTTTGTGAGGAATACCTTATGGGCTTAGCTATGCATAAGGGTCTGAACATAAGAAGATACATAGAACTGAATGATCACGATAAAAGCATCTGTAGGATTAGAAATCATCAGTAAATGAACCACACAGCCTATTTTTTAGAATAGAGCTCTAAAATGTTTTACTTAGTGATATCTTCTAAAGGCCTTTAAGAATGTCACAACCAGTATTACCTTGAATTGCAGGTTTACGTGTCACACTTTCTCCAATAATCTGGTATATTTTGAATGAATTATCTATTTTCAATCTTCATAAGGACCCAAACAAGCAAATGTTAACATCTGTGACTGCTGCGCTGGATGACGCTGGCTCAAATCTCAGAGGGAAAATGAATGCCTGCAAGATTGCATGTGCGCCTTGCCGACAACTACTAACAATCCTAAAACCTAGGTACAGGGCTTTCTGCCAACTGTGCTTGGTGATTACCTTTTCAACTTGACTGACAGAATTCAGCCTAGATGAACACCTTGGACTAGACGAACGATGACAGCTACATCCTAGTATTTAATTAATGTATCCATCAGAATCCTCCAGGAGTTCAATCGTGACCTGGAGTAGCTCAGTAGTAAAGTAGCAGTTCTGGTTGACATAGGTTAAGATCTCATAGGGGATTTGAGTTCCTTTAAATGTACATCAATGTCTTAGGGATGGAACGCTTATAAGACAAGCACCTGGTCAGGGTTCGATTCCCTACCAACACACTCCTATAACTCTCCTAGTCTACTAACTGGTAGTTAGTCAAAGATAGAGGAAAGATCGGGCATGAGATCAATAACCTCATCCAGTAAAAACAACATCAGTCCTACTGAAACTGCAAAGCTTAAACTAAGATCTCTTTGTTTTACTGACAACACAATGGAATATGTAAAACTGGGCAAACTGGGTTTTCACTACAGAATTCAATGAAGCGTTTTTAAAGGAAATGCATTTAATCTCATTATTCCCAACCAGTAACAAAGAAAGAAATGTTGTGTGGATTGATTAACTCTGCATTCCATCTAATAATTCTCTTATTTTATGATTGACATATCCCTGAAAGAGAGATTGCAAAAGATATTTCTTCTTTTCTAAAGTGAAATGAAAACATAGAAGGGAAATAATGAATACAGGTCAGTTATACGAATGTTCTACAAATCATATTAGATATATGATGAAACAAAAGTGATATTTGTTGTAAACAGCTAGAACAAAGCTACAATCACCAGAAGGAAATCAGCCAATAATTGATCGAGTAATGATGAGGTTATTAAAGGTGATGCGAACAAATAATGTACAAGATAGTAATCCATATACAAAGTGTACAAGTCTATATAATTATTGTGTATGCAGAGAAGAATGTTTTTTATTTAGTGAATATCATTATTTTTTCATACTGATCTCACCTAGAATGGCAATGAGTTGTTTATTAGACATTTGGAAAATCTTTCACCTACACAAGGATCGACTGTGATCATTAAAGGTACTTATAATCATCAAAAAGTTCCACAGACTCGGGTGAAATCGTCCCTAGTCAGTTCGATTCCAATCAATTTGCCAGTTACTTTGAGGGTCAAGACATAACTGCGTGTATCAGCTCTATCATTTATTATTTATTTTGTCCCTTTATATTCCCGGGGGAATATAGATCTTCAAACTAGAGCTGTGAAGTTTCGGTATCAGGGGTATTTATTCTTACGGGATGAGTTGGCTAGCCTCATGCCCAACCTTCCCTCTTTACCAGTCTTATAACTGCCTTAGCGAGGTATAGGAGAAGTGCATCGGCAGGGGATCGAACCGTGAACCACATGAGTGGTTGGTGAGCACCCTACCGATATGTCACCGACGCCACTGTTACCATACTATTATATATACAAACATATATCTATACATGTAGTATAAAGGTTTGTACCTGGACATACGTGACTTAATCTCTGAGACAAGCATATGACTACTGACAGGATCAACCAGTTTATTTAGATAATGATACACACATTGGCTGGATACATTGGTTTTAATGAAACCCAGTCCATACAAGGCGATAAATACATGCGGTGTCATCTTGTAGCACAACCATTTGGGTATTCTCTCCCTAAGTGGACCATTCGCACAATTAGTACATACTATTGTGTGGGGGAATCATAGTTACTCCAAACAATGCTCACATCAGTCTGTTATATACTACATCGGCGAACCTAGTTTCGCTTATCTCGCACATAAGACTACCCAAACGGATTATTTTAAGCAGGAGTAGCGAGCAATGCAGTGCTGTAGTGGCACAAGACCAAACTATTGAGGTCAGTAACCACACGATGAAATCAAATCGTCAACCCTATCAATCATTTTGGCATATAAATAGCCTCAATAAGTCAACCAAAACTATTGAAAAAAATTGATAATGTTAAGACTCATATCCAATTCTTCACTGGAGTTCCTGCTGTAGATACTACATGACATATGGGCAGTAACCAAGATAGCCCGAATAATCTTATAACCCGTGATCACAAGCCTAATACAATAATCGTGAACTTCTGAGCCGTTTAGGAGCATTTTACAAATTTCCACTTTTCTTTCCAACTTTTTGGACTGTAAGCAGTCGGTAGTATCTTTCACTCAT